GGCGGCTGACACTCCCTTCCTGGGCTGTGGTGCGCCGCCGGGGGCGCTGCCGCCACCGGGTCTCCCAGCGCTGGCAGGAAAACAGCTGGAGCTGAGAGGGAGCGGCATTTCGAAAACCTGCTTCTGGGAACAAAGCGTAACGTGCAGGCCAGGGAGGCGTGGCACTGAGGTGACCTGGCCGGTCGCGAGGCCCGGGGGAGACGCCAAGGGTGGCCAGGCACCGATGGCCGAGGTGACTCAGGGAGCGCCTGAACCCAGGGTCTGTAGCGACCACTAGATAGATAGGTGGCTGGGTGACGCCTGAGGCTCCCCCAGGGGCGAGGTGACTCTTCTGGCACAAACGGAGAGGAGCTGTGTGAAGGTTAGGTTGACCCTAGTCGGCGAAGAGGAAATTGCAGCCTCGGGTCCTCTGGCCATCGCCGGCCCGAAATTGCTGCGGGTAGAAAGCCAACGCTCTGGGGCGTGGTTTGAAGCCTTCACCGGCCTCCTCGGTATTGTGCCTACTTCTCCGAGTTAATCTCCCATTCCTCCTGGGTGCCCCAGCTCCGCCATGCCCTCCTAGCGAATTCCCTCTCACCCATCCCTCCTCTAATACATATATATATATTTTTTTTTTTGAGAGGTGTTTTTTTTTTTTTTCTTTTGAGAGGTTTTCGCTATAGGGCGCTTGCGCTCGCCAGACAGACAGAAAGCGAGAAATCACTCCCCAGAGGGGATGGTCATGCCGCAATCCCTTCTCCTCCATTCTTCTCTCGGGATCTTGGGTACGCACGTACACGTGCCGGGTGTGAGTTCTAAGCCACCGGGTCCGGGACGCGAACCGTGGTCGACTACGTGGGAATCCAGCGACTGCTGGATTTACGCTAACTGCTGGTTCCCTTTTTTTCTTTCTTTTTTTTTTTTTTTTTTTTTTTGCTATAGGGCGCGTGCGCTCACCAGAGAGAGAGAGAGAGAGAGAGAGAGACAGAAAGCGAGAAATCACCCCCCAGGGGGGATGGCCACGTCGCAATCCCTTCTCCACTATTCTCCTCTTGGGAGGTATGGGACTTAGGCACACGCGCCGGCGTGAGTTTAAGCCACCGGGTATGGGACGTGAACCAGCGACATAGCCATTACGCTAGCTGCTGGTCCCTCTAATATGTATATTTTAAGAGAACATGGATCTTGTTTGTCTTCTTCACCTTTGGCTTGTCTGCTCTCTCAATGTCTGGCCATAGGTTGATACTGAAATATAATACTCGTTAAATGAATGACTTAACAAAAATCGCCAGGCCACGGATGCTCCATTATTGGTAGTAATACCGGCCTCCCTCCCAATTGGACAACAAGAAAACATGTCTAAGGAGAGAAGCAAGCAGGAGAAACGTACCAGCTTTGATCCTTCTGTTCCTGGGATTTTATTTTGGCCATTTGTACCTCCCCCTCTGCTACTGGAATTTTATTATGGTCATTTGTACAACCCCAGGTTGAATACAACCTAGATTGTAGGGTGATGGAGTATCTATCTCAGGGTAAGCTGCAGGAGAAATGTCAATTTTCTAGTACCTTTTGTGACTCAACCAGCTTTTCCTCTTCCCCATAGATGTTTTCATGTTGTATTACATTTCAGAGGCAATTTGAATTGCACAGATTTTGAAGCAGAATACTTTGAGTTCAAAGCTTGGCTCAGTCAGTTAACTGGGGTTAATTTGGGCCAGTTAATTATTCTGTACTTTATAAAATGAAGATAATAGCATTTACCTCCTAGAGAGTAGCGTATCAAACAATCCAGTACAGGTAAAGTGCTTAGAATAGTGTTTGACACAGGGCCAACTGTGTCCTGGTGGTTAAGAAGCTGGATCCCACGTAGCTAGCTGACTATTGGAGTTAGGCTTGAAAAACTTGGAAGGGTAGGGGCGCTGGCAGGGCATATGTGCATGTGTGCCCAAAATCCCAAAAGGAGGAAGAGCTGTGGAAGAGTAATTGTGGAGTGACCATTCCCTATAGGGGTTACTTTCTCCTCTCTCTCTGTCTCTCTGGCAAGCAAACATGCCCCCTGGCAAGTTAAACTCTGGCACATAGTAAGCATCATATAAGAATTTTCCATTATTATTACTCACTCTCTCCCCAGGACTCTACCTCCATAGCCTGATGCGTAAGTACATCTCTGAGTGGGTGGGTGAGTGTGAGGAGAACAATCTCTTCTTGATTTTCTAGCTACTTCTCACTGCCAGATTTATCACATCACCATCACCCACTCCTTGCCCAGCCTTCTTGATATGGTTTCTACCCTTGATTTGACTGAAACTAAACTTTCAAAGATCATCAGTAATCTCCATTAAAACTATTTTTTTTTTTTGGAGAGGTTTTTGCTATAGGGCATGTATGCTAGCCAGACAGAGCCAGAGAGACAGAAAGCGAGAAATCACCCCCCCAGGGGGGATGGCCACACCACAATCCCTTCTCCTCCATTCTCCTCTTGGGATCTTGGGCACACATGCACATGCGCCCGGTGTGAGTTTAAGCCACCGGGTCCAGGACTCGAACCGCGGTCAACTACGCGGGAGTCCAGCGACATAGCCATTACACTAACTGCTGGTCCCCCATTATAACTATTTTTAAAATATTTTTAAATTATTTTATTTTGTTATCATTATTATTATTATTATTAGTTTGCTATAGGGCACATGCACTCACCAGGGAGATACAGAGAGGAGGAAAGTGAAAAAGCAAGTTGCCAGGTCTAAGACTTGAACCGAATCATAGTCGGCCATGTGGGAATCTAGTACCTTAACCACCATGCCACCTGCTGGCCCCAAAACTATTCTTGATCAATCTACCTGGCCACCATGTGTGTGTGTGTGTGTGTGTGTATATGGATGTATATATATACATATATTTCATATATTTCCCCCCCCCCGCTTTGGACAGTGTCTCCCAATATCTTGATTCTCCTGCTCTATCCCTAGTTTGTAGGACCATAGGTGTGTTTCATTGTGCCAGGCCTGTTTAGGTTGGGTTGAGTACTGAAATTGGGCTTCCCATATGGCCCCAGCCACCTTGCGGTAGTGCCTTCCTGCTTGTACCACTGTAGCTGAGCCAAAAGACTCCCCCCCATACAAATTTTATTATAGAGCATGTGTGCTTGCCAGAGAGAGAGAGGAAAAAAAAAAAAAGTGAAATGTCTTCCCCCAGGGGGGATGGCCATACCACAATCCCTTCTCTCCATTTTTCTCTTGGGATTTTTGACCATGTACACGTACCCAGAATGTCTTTTTCCAGCTGCTGGGTGTGGGACTCAAATTGCAGTCTGCCATGTGGGATCCAGCTGTTTTAACTGTCATACCACTGGCAGGCCCAAGACTTTTCTCTTTGCTTTCTTTTTTTTTTTTTTTTTTTTGGCCAAATCAAATTGTATCCCGCTTTATTAAAGATCATTTTCATTAATACTAAATCATGGTATTTCAGGCAGGGCATGGGCAGACAATCCTTAACAGTATACAACAACTTTCAAACTCCTTTCTTCAATGGACTACCAAATCAGAAAGCCACTATAAAACCCAATGATGGGGACCGGCAGATAGCGTGATGGCTATGTTGCTTGATTCCTATGTAGTCGACTGCAGTTCAAGCCCCGGACCTGGTGGCTTAAACTCATGCCAGGCATGTGTGTGTGTATGTGTGTGCCCAAGACCCCAAGAGGAGAATGGAGGAGAAAGGATTGCAGCATGGCACCCACTGGGGGTGAGTTCTCGCTTTCTGTCTGTCTGTCTCTCTGTCTTTCTGGTGAGCACACATGTCCTATAACAAAAACCTCTCAAAAACAAAAACAAGCCACCCAAAGATGTCTTCATTTGATGCCGTGACCAGGGAAAGTTTAGAGTGAGGGTTGACATTTTACATTTATCATGTTGTTTAACAACTTTTCACGAGCTGACCGACTTCTGGGAAACAAGAATGGCAGAAGTATCAACCTAAAGATCCAACAATGTAGAAAAGGAACTGCTGCTCTTTTGAAGGATGCCATCTTAATGTCATTGGAAAGTCAAAGTTGCCTGATACACTGGTATCCAGTTTTTGTGGTCAGGTCCCAACAGGTCCCTGGTTTAAATCTATGCTGAAGGCAGAGAGGGAGAGTACATAAAAACGAATGTTAAGTTTTCCACATCACAAGGCATCTGTGCCAAGATCAGGAAATCCTTCCTCTTGGAGACTAAGAGGAAGTCTCTCAAAACTAGAAGGGAAAGCTGTTGTCCAAATCAACTCAGCTTCAGAGACATTCTATTAGTGACAAATGCCCCTTCCCCAAAACAACAATGGTTAAAGGCGCTGGACTCCCACATGGCCAACCTTGGTTCACGTCCTGGACCTGGCAGCTTTTTTTCTTTTTTTGGAGAGGTTTTTGCTATAGAGTGCATGTCCTCGCCAGGAAGACAGAGAGA